AAAGTCAACGAGGGCTCAAAATAGTGGTATTGGAAAAGGGATGGATAAGTAACCTATGTCGATTCAAAGGCTTTGCTGTAATGACCTGATTTGGGAAACAGTTAAAATTTGATGCACTTTGATAATCTTTCGATTCAGTGTTCTAGGGTTGGTGTCTTTATTTATGTTTATTGTACATTGTGATCATTATTGATAAACTCCTAGACTTAGATAACATGGGATGGAAGAAACTGTGTTTTTATGGAAACTAAAGGTCAAACACAAATTAAGATCTCGACTCACTGCCATTAATGTAAAGTGGATTTGGGCTTGTGTAATACAGAGGTTAGTTATGTCTTTGTAACCCAGACCAAACATAGAACACTGACAAACACAGCTCAATATTTCACGAAGTACTCTTTGAAAAGAATAAGTAGTTTACAAAGTACTTCTCGTATTCCCTTCTCCCAATTACCATGTGAAGTCATGTAACATATGCCCATTTTTAGAGATAGTGAAGTTCAAGTTTAGAAAAGCTAATAATTTGCTGCCTGAGATCACTTGATTAGCAAGTGTCAGAAAATCTTGAACCCAAGACCTGTACTCTACCACATTTGGCTGTACTTTCCTCAAATAAAGAGCTATTTTATGTTGATTTCTCTACAGCATTTCTACTGTATTCTACTCCAGTATGCAAGTATCACCAATGAGTTTGGAGACTAGGCAAAATTTGGGTCCAATACTGCAGGCTATTAGATTTGTAGATGAGAGAAACTGTCATTTTCACCTGTGTGTTTTTTATTCATTTTTCAGGGTTCCTTAATACGAGCTACTTATCTTTCATTAATTCTATTTCTCACACAATATTTATATTTCACATTTACCAACATTCCTTTTCATGCTCATAGTATCTTCAGCTGCCTCTGATTTTTAATGCAGTTAGCTAAGAGGACACAATGGCTCTGCTACAGATCCAGGGGAAAAGGAAATACAAGAAGCTACACAGTTTCTGAATTTTTCATTCCTCATGGTTCAATTCTCATGTGTCATATGCGGAACTCATTTTGTGTTTGTTAGGCTTCGTGGCCTGATGCTTGTTTTTCCTGCTGGTCTAATTCACAGTTTAAATCAACTGCTTAAGTTCTCTACTTGGTAAACGTGAAGGGAAGAGGAGATATTTCATGCACCTACAGCATCCCCCCCAAACCCCTGCCAAATCTATGACTCTGACTCTGCATCATCCTTGCCCAGAAGGAGAGCATAATTTCATTATCCATGAATCATCACCTCTTGGATTGTAACATCATTGTCAGAGAGCCTAATGGAACCCGTGTTCAGCTGGCTGCAGTGGGGAGGGAGGAAGTGGGGAGAGAGCTGTGGGGCAAAGCACAGGTCACTGGCATGATTGACAAACTGGAGAGTCCTGCAGCCCGAAGGGGCTCCCTCATGTGATAGTCAGACATTCCTACTGACTAGTGAATAGCTGATGCTGATTCTTTCAATATTAATACTGAAGTCTGTTTTTCCCCAACCTAAATTATATCATATTTCAGTATCCTGCTGATGGGAAACGTTAACCCAGTTAATGAAAAAATATATATGTGGCCAACATAGATGAATATGAATGCTTTAAAATAATTCTTATTTATTCTTATTACATTACAACTTGTTCGTCATCTTTGGGCAGTTATTTCGAGTCCTCAGTACCAGTTCTATGGCCTCTGTTTGGGCATTACTAAATAAGTCACTATGCAAAAAATAACTTAAAAAAGCACTATAACTCAATTTCCCAGGGAGATGAACTAAATAAATTCCAATATGATTCACAAATCAAAAGCTATATGTCGTCAACCACATTTCTGTAAGCATTGAGGACTTCAAAACTGTATAAAACGTGTGAATAGCTGTGGTTAGTCTAAGCCGCCACTGGAGGTCACTCCTGCTCCACAGAAATGCAGTTTATTGCCTGTTGTCTACTCTTAGGTAGTTGATTCACTAAATCAAGGAAAAAATGGTTTCAATTCTTTGAAAAGATGGAATGTCAACATCCTTGGAAAATGTAAACTAATTTAAAAGGAATATATATCTTGCATAAGTACTTCTCAGAAGACTGTGGCACTGGGACTATTAACTTCATGCTGCAGTAGCACTGTGGGTACTGGGGCTACAAAAATGGGGGCCAAACCCATGCAGTTCAGAGACTAAATTGCATCCCCTCTCTGACCAAGCAATCAAAGCACTGACTGAACCCCTCCGCCTCCACGTGTCTCTGCTGTGCAGTTCAACAGGTTAGGCTGTGTATTGAACTGCTGTCATCTTTGAGGAATTTTGCACTAGAAAATGGAATATCAATTATATCTCTCAAATATGCAATGAGTTTGAAAAAGTCAAGAAAACGGATTTATGATCTGAAGTCCAGAAAGTGCCCTGGGGGTGGGGAGCGCAACAACTTTTAAGGAGGCGAACATTCCCCAGGTGGCTTTGCTAAATTTGTGGTGGTGAACAAGTTACTGTCTTACTGACAAGAATTAAATATTTGAGCTCAGAAGAGATGAAGAACTAGAGAAGCTTCATTCCCCAAAAGGGGAGATCTTTTTTTTTTCTAATTTGTAATTTCATGTTCTGAATCAAAATGAGTTTTACTCTCTAAGGGATTTTATTGTGGTTCTTATTCATTATTAAATTCATAAAGAATTAAAGTTACACAATAAAAAAAAAGGACTAGCCCTTAAAATGCTGGTCATTCATTCCATCTTACCCACCAAGTGACTTTGAATTTCAGGAACACTTTCCAATACAGCACATGTATTTTGTATATACTAGTGGTACCAGAGCACTGAGAATTTGCAAGAATTCAAAAATATAAGTATAAATATGTCTTGCTTAAATTTATTTGGTATCCATGACAAATGAGGCAGAAGGTCAAGTCAAAGAATAGAAATGAGCTTTTTCACTTTAACACTGCATTTAATTAACAGTCATCTTTAGTACAGATAAAAATGAGTCTGACCAAAGGAAATTTCTTTTTTAAATGGAATATGTATTTACTGACATTTTATGAAAAATGTAAACTTACAACTTCAGTGAAAAACATCACAGTAGGCTCAGTCATCCAGTTGATAGTACTGTAAGGAAGTGTCTGCATTATTAATCCATGGGGACTCTGTGACAATTTGCCATTAATAAAGGTATAGTCAACAATTCTTCATGGGTAAATATACTGTAGCTATGATGCTTTTCTGAACTGCCATCTATTTTCAAATTTAATTAAAACCAAAGTCCATTTTAAATGTTCCTTTTTCTTTATTGCTTATAAAAGTGTGATTTTTATAAACCGGCTTCCTTGCAATTATATATCATGGTGACTTGCCTAGATTTTTGCCTGTCAGCAAATAAAAAGCCCCCAGACTATATAAAAATGCTGGTAAAAATAGCCATTCACTTTTTTTTTTTTTTTTTTTTTTTGCTGCAGCGATTCTGTTTTGAAAGAACAGGGACATGGTTTGGCAAGCCAAATGAAATGAAACAGACTTAACGTTGCAATTCCTGATTTTTACGACTGTAATTGAATTGTTCATTTTGGAGGATGAAAGAGGATACAGGCTAAAGACATTTTTCTCAAATCTTAATGAACTGTGGTCAAAGTTACTTAAATCCAGAAGCTATGATATTTGAGCTGCAGTCAATAAACTTTCACCTACGACAGAAAACCACGCATGCAGCTTGCACAGTGCCAACAGGGTCGGTACAGAATCATACTGAGGGATGCGTTCACAATACAGATGAGCATAGGGACACCGTAACATCAGCAGCAGAAAAGCAAAGCCGGGTGCCATAGGGTTGGTCTTCTCCCTCTAAGGTTTACTCCGTACATTCAGTGAGGTGTTACCAAAAGCATCCTTTTGACTGAGGCTCTTGGTGGAAAGCATGTCTTGGAATGTGTTCTCTTTACACATCTGAATGAAGTGTCAGTCGTTAGGGGACTCGTGTGTGCAGGACACATAATGGAACACAACAGGACAGCCTGACAAAGCCCAAACAGAGAACAGAGAGCGCTAATGATTCCACTCCCTCCTTTAGGGCCCCCAGAAGAGCTGAAATGAGAAATGCTGGGAAGCTCCCAACCACATGCCTAAGAGCAAGCTGCCTTCCCATGTGCAAGCCTGGTCTCTGAAAGTCCCTGATGTGAGGAGCGGTGGGGAAATCTGCCTCCTCACATTTGCTTCCTGGCTAGTTAATGAAGGGGCTTATTTTCGAAATGGAGAGGCTAGAAGAAAAGAACAGGGAAGCCTCTGGTCTGATGTCACAGGGGTGGCTTTCAGCGACAAGCTCTCAGGTGGGAAACTTTGTATGTGTACCATCTCCTCACATTTGGCGCTTGTCTCCCCGCAGCATTTTAACCCTTCACCACTTCCCCTAGACTTGTCTCAGCACCATCCAGACGCCTGCCTCAGAAACCGGCTGGTGGTGCTGCTTTTACCCAGCACCATCCTTGGATAGCTCCCTGCGGTTTTCTTTTGGAGCCAGGCATTGTTTCAAGGCTCGGCCTCTAAACGTTCCTGTCCTCGGGCATCCTCCTGGAATCGGCTCAAGGTCCAAGTACCTGGGGCCATCCCCTTCTCCCTCGATTGGCCAACAAACTGCACACCTCCCAGAACTGTGCCTCTGGGTCTAGCAGAATAACAGCAGATGTGGGGGATTAATTGTAAAAAGGAAGTTTTATCTGAAAACTGTGTGACATGGAGGGAATCAATAAAGGGCCTGACACAATAGGCATTATGTGAAACCACAGTTCAAGCTGCACATTGATCGTGCTATTTAAGTTTCAGTGGGCGCCTTATGCAGGAGAGGAAAATGACCAGTGTGATGAATGTACTCAAGCGGACAGGGGAGGACCTTGCCAGCAGCGGGAGAGGGAATGGGAGGGGGCACCACGTTCCCTTTATAGTCACCGGAGTTCAGTGAAGCACCACTTATTATTGCCCAGCTTTTAAGAGCGCTTTTATCGCAAGGGTTCATACCTCACACTCCCTGGAGCCCGATTTGTTATAGGTGCAGGGTCCCGTCCCATTCAGCAGCATCTCGCTGGTCTCGGTGTTGGTGGGCTTGTAATCTACATAGAACTCCTGGGTGCTGGGATTCATCTGCTTGAGGGACTGTCTTTTCTTCTTCCTGTGCCTGCGCATGAGGGAGCGCTGCTGCAGCTGCTTCATGCTGGCCGGGTACCGCTTCCAGGACACGTAGATCACCAGCAGGATGACGAGCACGGACAGGAACAGGGCCACGCTCCCCGCGATGATTTTATGGAAAGAGATGTGCTCCGTGTCAGCATCGGTCTCTGGGCTGGGCTCCGTGGCCCCCACCGTGGGGGGCGGAGGGGGCTTGCTCTCATGCTTCGGCCTGGGGAGCTTGGGCTTGAAGGTGGGCTTGGGGAGCGCCCTGGCCAGATCAAATCTCTCCGTGGTACTTTTGCCACAGATGCTGTAGTTCTTGACGGCATCGATCACATTGACTCCCTGCAGCTCTTTGGGGCTGGCGCAGATGATGGTGTTCTC